GAGAGAGAGAGAGAGAGAGAGAGAGAGAGAGAGAGAGAGATGGTAAAGTCATATTATGTATCTTCTTTGGTGCAAATGTATGATATCCGATAACATCCCACTTCTGTCTCTTTGTTATATCCAGGCTGATACCGAATCTCCACAGATTGATCATTCTGCAAGATAATAACCAGCCGACTGTATATTATCCATTACTTAATATATGCACTTTAAGACCCTCTATTGTTGTGTTTTGTTTCGCCTTCCTTTGGGGGGTTCAAGCCTTATGCCTCAAACTCCCACAAATATCAGAAAATGTAAATTTATGTGTGCCCTTGATAAAAACGAAGATCCCATTTCACAGCTATAATAAGATCCCATATAACTTCAAAAATATGATAATGATAGCTTCATCTGATTCATAAAACCTCTGCAAAAACAGAACCGTTCAAAAGTTTTGTTTGTAAAAACAACTGTTTTCAAAATTATAAATAATAATAAAATGGTTCTTGATCACCAAATCAGCTTAATAGAATGATTTCTGAATGGAAAAATGGCTGCTGAAAATTCACTGCATTCACAGGAATAAATTACATTTTGAAGTGGATCAAACAAGGTCAAAGTTGTCCTAAGACAAGAATGCATTTTGGTTTTAGGACAACTTTGATGAAAGGTTTTGATCCACTTCAAATGTTGACTAGTGTATATTAAAATAGAAAACTGTTATTTTAAATTGTAATGTCTCTCGATATTTCTATTTTTACTATATTTTTGATTATTAGTGAGCATTAAAGACTAAAACTTTCAAACGCATTAAAAAATCTTACCAACCCCATTAAAAAAATTTTACCCCAATTTTCATTCAGAATAAATTACTAAATTGGCAAATAACAGTGAATTAAACATAAATTTTGAAGTAGAAAGACCAAAATAGTATTGTATACTCCAGTAATCTGTGTTTTATTTACTTTAGTAAAAGTGTATTTTAGTGTTACACTATAGTGTATTTTTCAGGATGGCAAAGTCACAGACACTCATGAGCTTTAAAACACTGCTTTGCCCTCCTAAAACAGGACTCATGCTCTTTCAGCAAGTAATCTAGTGCATGGCAGTTTGTTGAGGGTGCTGCACACCTCAGCCCTGTTTCAGCAGAGAACTACATCTGCTGTGGCTGCTGCTGAGACCAATGCACGCACACACACACACACACAAACACACACACACACACACACACACACACACACACACATCGTGTGCTGAACCTGAGCACTCAGCAATGCCCCAAAGCCCAGTCTGAACACCATTAGACCAACCAAACCAGCACAGCGGCCCCCAGTAGTGCACCTACCACACCTGAGCAACATGTTACAGCTGATTTGGCTCCTTTTCTGGTTGCTTTTTTAATTCAGTGTCTTTCATTTTGTTTGAACTCATTTAATTGGTCTAAAAATATCTTATGCAAATAAATACACCACTAATCAAGTAGATGATTTGAGCAGCTTCTGATGTTTTAAATGAGCATGAGGGTCATCAAAGGGTCTACTGAGGAATAAGGCTGATTTGAGAGCCCCGTCTGTCCTTGCAGGAACTCAAAGGTCAAATGACAAGTAAATTTTGTCATTAGGCTGCAGGCTGAGAGAGGAAGATCAAGGACAATTATGATGATGATACAATCAGTGATGTGCTGTAAAAGCTTAAAAAAAAGACCTGACTCACAAATATATGCACATTCCCTCCCAATGAAATATGCTAGCCTTATTTAAATCACTCTGGAAACTAAGCTCTACCTAAACAAAAACAATGAAACAAAGAGAGAAAAAGACAGAAAGAGAGAGAGAGAGAGAAACAGATTAAAGAGTCTCAGAGTGGTGCAAATCTCACAGACGGAGGATAAAGTAGAGAAGAGAACCCAAAACAATCCCGCAGTGAAGGACGCACTTACCCCGAACAAATCCACTCAAATAAAAAAATTAAAAAATCTGCTGAGCACACAAACCTTCAGGAGATGTTTTTTGGGAACATCGTTAGAAATGTTTGATATTCTTTTCTAAATAAAGATCCAACAAAGTGTATACATCGAGAGCTATTCACCAAGGAAGTTGTCACTTAAGAAAACACAATGCCGAAATAACAATATCATGCACAGTTATGACATAAATTGCATTTTTCTAAAGTATAACGTAAATATAACCTCAACTAAACCAAATTAAACACAATAAAACACACACACACACACACACACACACACACACGTGTTTGCAAATACACTCTCAATTAAACAGAAATGAATCAGCAACAGCAGAGAAACAGAAAAAATGAGGGGCTGGAAGAGAGGATGGAATAAAGGATAAATGAAAGAATGCATGAATGAAAGAGAGAATAAAAAGAGATTCTCACTCTTGAGGATGCTCGCAGACTGCAGCAGCGTGAGAGATTGACCGTTCCCTACACACAAGCAAAGACTGCCACTCTACCACCTCCTCTCCCTTCTCTCTCACACACACGCTCTCCTCCAGACCTGCTCTCATTGGCTGGGACTCTAGAGTGGGCGGGGTTGAGTGTCTTACAGTCCTTCCTCCCCCTAAAGTAGTCCAGATCAAAAGCCATGCTGGATTTTCTCTCTTGATGTCGGCTTTGTGTTTTCAATCTGCAGCGCATTAGCTCGCTTAAAGGTAAACATGCCACAAATCCAGCAAATATTTCAGCTTTAACTGTCCTTCAAATCTTGTGGATTCCACAAACATATGAAGGGAATTCATGCACATAAGCAGCAGGCTTGTGAAGTAAACACATGTGAATCGAGAAATCAATTTATTATTAACCGTTGACTGGGTGTCAGATGGAAAGGTAAATACAGATGGATAAAAATGCAGTTACGCAGGTGCAAAGGGAGAGTCTCACAGAGGAAAATAATCTCAGAGGTTGCTCTTATATAGCTCAGATGAAGAATGTTTCTTTTTAATGATTACCCTAAAATTCCTAAGGAGAAATAAAAATAGCCATAAATCAGAGTATTTTACTACTATATAGAGTTACACAACAGAGCTACAAAATTAAATAATTAAAAAAATTTATTAAACTATTTTAAAATAAAAAGTGTCAAAAATGAATCATTCAAAAATATAAACTAAAGTTTATCAATCAACTAATCAATCAATCAATTTGATCAGAAATATAGTAAAACCAGTAATATTGTGAAATATTATTACAATTTAAATGAAATATTACTACAATTTATTTAATACAATTTATTACAATTTTCAGGTTCTCAAGAAACAGTGATGCTTTTGTAAAAAATGGTGATACTCTTTTTAAGGATTCTTTCGTAAATAGATTTTTTTTGGTATTATATATGTCATATGTCTTTGCTATCACAAAAAAGGAAAACAAATATCTCACTGACCCCAAACTTTTGATAAAATATAAAAAAATATATTTTAATTAATAATAGTAATTTATTTTTTAGCCATCATTTATATCATACTTTATATTACAGACATGACCATCTTAGCAATTTATTTTTATTTTTTTTTACTTTTTTACTTTTTTCTCAGTAGGAAGCAGACCCAAGCAAAAATCTCAATTTGATATCAATTTAATCTCATTGCATTCAAAGAGATCTCCTTTCTTTTTTTCTATCTATCCATCCATCCATTCATCCATTCATTCATTCATTCACTTATATGTGCTAAATCTAAACCTCTGAACTCCAAGACTCTTTTCAGATTCTACTGTAATTCACAAAAATTGCACCTTTCCCTCGAAAAGCGGCAAGGATCTACTGCACATGGAACCTTCCAGACAGATAAAAAGCTTTCAACCCCTGCTTGTCTCAGACCTGCATTTCAAGCTGAGAAATTCGAGGAAGATTACAGGCTGTTTGGGATGATGGATTACCACACGTCCAGAGACAAAGATAAGAAACTGTACAGCAGACGTACGTTCAGAGATTCTGTGCTGATATAATCAAACGTCCATGTTAAAACAAGTGCATTCAAAACATCTGTCTTGGTTGTTTTGGTTCCGTAGCATGCACGCAGTCGGACACATCCAGGCAGACAGCCACCCTTGCGTAACACACTCACACACACACACACACACACACACACACACACGTTTGTGTCAGTCTGCAGTGAGATGCTTTCAGTTAATAGAGGACAGCTTGTATAGTCTCATTAGCTGCTGTGCAGTGACTCCAACATGCCAAATACAGCTCCACCCGGGAGAAGAGCATCACTGCGCCAGGAGGTACAATCACAATGTGTGAGCTACAGAACTGGCAGTGTGACATTTCCAGGGAAGTAGAGACTGTAAATTAAGCCAGCATCATCTGTAATTTGTCAGCGCACACGTATGCACAAGCTTTTAGCTAAATAATGCTACTGTATCTACAGACTGCAGCGCTGAGATT